AAAATGAGGCTTCAGCAGAGTGGCTTTTAGTCTTGGTTCCCTTGTAGTTCAGGTCAACATCTTTAAGGAGGTGAGTGCCCTTTCCAAAACTTTTTCCTCCTCTGGTGCTGTTTCTGTGGCTCCAGAGAATTTCCTGCAAGGTGTTTTCAGTGATCTCTTTTGAATGCCTGTCTCCATAATAACGCAAAAATAAAGCTTCTGTATGTTTTCTATATTGAACTCTGAAAAGCATGAAGAGATTTTAGGCTCTCTGTGATGCTGCTGTTGAAGCTGGCATCTGTAGGTGTCAATGTGGTTTTATTCGGTTCAGACTTTGTGTTGCTCAGCCAGATGCACTGTCAGGAATCCAGCTCCTGTGGGCTGGTATCTCCATGGTTTTGTGGGACCTGGTATTTGTCCACTTGCTTCTTCTGTTATAAGCTGAGTAGTTAGACCTTCTGATCATATCAGAAATGGGTTGTGTTTTAAATACATGGACCAAAACGTTTGGTTCTTCGACCAAAACCTTTTTCCTAATCACACAGAACCTTTTCTTTCTCTCTTAAGGGAGGAAAAAAGCCGATCTCAAACCGAAATTGCTATTATTCAACACATATCATCTCCAAAGAGGCATTTAGGATCATTCCTGATGGCCAGGCCCAGGGCCTTACACTATTTCATCATTTTTTTCAACAGAAGTGTTTTCTGGCACTGGGAGGAGAGTGTCCAACACTCTTGTGCACATATGAGCATTAAAATGTGTCTCTTCTTCAAGAGTCTCTAGTTTAAGGAGAATGAGACCCTAGAGGCAATGATGGCAATAACAGCTTCAGATCAGTCAGTGCAAACCTTCAGCTTGCTGCTGTGCATCCAATATTTGAATGCTGTTTTCCATTTGAGGATGCATTGCCGATGACATACAGCATATACATGATTACGTACATCACATGCACAGCAAATTCTGACTGCTTTTTCTGGAGGACTTGGGATAACTTCAGGCATGGTTTCAGCCTCTGCAAAACAGAGGGGATGTGGTCCCACCGTGTCTGGAAGCGTTGCTGTTTAGTTCACTTCCAGGATATATATATATGAATGGAAAGTCTGTATGAGAGAATGCCTAGAAAAGATCCAAACTGAAACATCTTGGTAGAGAGAGCACTTCTTCCCCGAGTACATCATCTACCTCCTGAAACTGCTGGGGAGCAAAAATTGCTGTATTGCAGATAATTCTATTTGTAGAGTTTTCTCTGTGCGTGGGAAGGGAATGAAGTAATCTGTTCCATCAGCTTCTAAAACTGAACTAATTAACAGACAATCAGCATTGATTGAGGCAGCTGCATTCTTTACTGAAGGATTGTAAACACACAGTTTACACAGAATTGTTTTTAGTGCTCTGAAGTGCAAGGAGCTGAAATTGTATTTGATAACCAAAATTAAGGACTTTTAGTGACAGCGTGTCACAGCAAAGCTGACAGTGGCACTGCAGCTTAATCTGTTGTTTTCATAGCAATCCTCATTTTACTGTGATTTTGTCACAGTGAATAGTGGTGGAATTATATAAATTATCACCAAGTGTGTATATATATATCTATGTTCAGGTTCAAAGGTTTTTAGGTTGTACTGCACACCTGAGTTGTGTTGATGGAGTGAGCAGACGTGGGCTGCCCTTGGCTCAGTGTTCATCCTGGGAGGCCTGGAACTTTCACTGTTCCTCAGTGCTGGAGGATGTCAGGTTTGCAGTGTTTAAGAACATTCTGTGTGTGACTGTTAATGCATGATCTAGAAGGCCAGTATTATATATACATGTGTGTATATATATATATATATGTGCACTTTAGGGAACGTTACCAGAAATGTTGATCTAAAAAAAATCAGCAGTCTGTGTTAAAAATACAGTAATGAGAAGAGTGCTTCTGCTTCTAAATTAGCTCCAACACCGTTTAACACAGAGCACGCTATTCTTTGTGGGGTGCTGCTCCGTGTGCTGTCACCTCAGTCCAACCTCCCTGTGACTGTACATCAGCTAATTTTACTCCGTGAGTCAATTCTGCTATTTTCCTTTTCATGCCACAGAAAATGAGCTTAACCAAGCCGTGCAATGTGTTGTTGGGAAACACCTCGCCAGGAAGGGCGTTCTGCAGTCTGATCCAAGTTGTGCATAAAGCGTGCTGCTTGTGCTGAACTGTCAGGGACCAGATCAGAGATTAAAAGCTGTAAAGGCATCGCATTCTTTTTTACTGTCCAAATTATGTAGCATTTGCTGTGGTATTAAAAGCTAAACGTAAAGTCATGTATTGTCATAGCAAGCTGAGCCATTATTGGGAATTTAGATGTGAAAGAATACTAAGATTGTAAGTGGAACTTCGATAGTAGCGAACATCTAAATAAAGAAAATGTTGCTTTCTTGTTTCCTATTTATATCTGTAATTTTTTAGAAAACATCCACCAATTGCATTCACAGACAGCTTCACAAAAATGCTGTATTTTTCCCATCATGGGAAAATGCATAAACCTTGCAGCGTGCCCAGAAAGTCAACAAACTCAGACCAAGGGAGGAAGCGTGTTAGTCAGGAGTCAAGGACCGTTCTCTGAAAACCCTCTGCCAAATACTCTTCCTGCTCAAATTGTTTATCAAACAACAATTTCATTTGCCAGTAATTTTCTTCTGATGTTTTTTTTTTAATTTTTATTTTTATATTTTTTTTTACTGCTGATTTCTTAATAGAAGTTCCCCATCCAGCTTCCTCTGAGAAGCACTGCACTCGCTGTCCTGTCCCGGTGTCTGTCTGTCTGTCTGTGCAGCTGTGCTGTGAGTCTGGGTGCACAGCTCTTCTGCAGGACAGGCAGGCTGTGAAGGACCTGTATGTGTCTGAATGTGTCCCTCCCTCAGTGCAAGGAGGGAGAGCCTTCCAGGAGGGGGTAACCAGACAGTAATTCCAAGATACACTTTGTGGGCTTTCCCTAGGGCACGTCTGCTGTTGAGGTCTTTAATAACAGGAAGCTCCAGCTTGAGTCTATTCCACCTTTCCAAACTGTTCTGTGATACACAAGGTATAGCAGTTCATTCACCCACCGTGCCTCTTCTGCTGCATCCAACATCAGAAGGAAGTCAGCAGGTTGGTTAGCTCAAGGCTGCAGTGATTCTCTCCTGCTGGAATGTGGTTTCAAAATATTTTAGGTCTCTTCTTCAGTATGTGCTCATTCTTTCGTTGGTAAATATTTTATGTCCAGTGATTATTGTCCATATTTTACATTAAGAAACAGCTTAAGTAGCTTTGAGATTGGTGATTGCATTTGGAGACTGAAGGATTGTGGAGTGACTGCTGTGATGGATTTGGGGGCAGACAGTTGGTCTGTCCTCAATGGTTAACCATGTTAAAAGCCTTCCAAGAATAAAATGTCATCAAAGGAAAAACAATTGTGACATCTTGTTCTAAATTATAGTGTAGTGAGGGTTTGGGTGAAGTTAAATAAAGTCTGAGCAGTGAGTTTGTTTTCATTTAGAATAAAACAAACACAAAACAAAAGAAAAAAAAAACTTTGAGCTTATTTCTTTTAAATAAGGACCCAGAACTCACAATGAAACGAGGCTGTGTGTGTGTGCATTATTGATTTATTAGTGGCAGCCTTTGGAGCAACTTATAAATCCCAGTGTGTGTTACAGTGTGTGTCTTGCTTAAAGGACGGTCATGCTTCATTTGCTAGCAAAGCTTAGGCTGAAAAGAGGAGTAACCAAATACTTTAAATGATGTAGCAGAACTTGGATACAGGGCTGAATGTTTCGTTATTCGAGCCGCTCTTTTAATACTGCATTTTGCTTTCATTGGTGGTCAGAAGAATTAGTTTGGGTAACTCATGAATCTTAGGTGGAGATGGGACATAAACTGAAGTTGTGGAGGCATTCTGCTACAAGATGGCAGTGCAAATCCCTCCACCTGAATGGTGGTGCTGCAGTAGTTAGTTGAAACAGATGAGAGGAGTGCATTAAGCAGTTTGTAATTAGTTATTATTTATTTATTATTAAGAGGGGGTGGTCTGTAGAGCGGTGAGACTGAGCACAAGAGCATGGACTGTCTTCCTCAGCTCAGGATCAACCCCCCCAACAGAAGGTTGCGCAGATATGTCTTATTGCTGGGTCTGGGCAAAGTGGGTTTTCTTTGGTTTCTTGTAGTTCATTTGGCAGAAGATGATGCCCTTTGGTTCCCCAGCACCCTGTAGTTGCTATGAAATAACAAGTTTGAAGCCTAGGCTTTTTTTTTTTTTTGCTTGCAAAGTAATTAGCCAATGCAATCAGCTAACGAATTCCCTCCCCTGGAAGGCCACCAGCAGTGCGTGCAGCGCTGTGGTGTGAGCTGGAGCTGAACTCTGTACGGCCATGGCTGGCCAGCAGATCAGCAGATTGCTCCCAAAAGTACCTTCTGGGAAGTCTGACTGCAGCCACCTTTAAATCATTTTGTTACTTTTTCTCTTTGGCCTTTTTCACTGCAGCTTTTGAAAGAAGCAGTTTGCACTTCCAGCAGGATGGGAGCTGGAACGGGGCCGTGCTGCATCCTCCAAGGCAGCGGAGCAAATGGCTCCCCAGCAAACGGCTGCGCTTTCTGGTCAGGAAACTCCTGTCCTTAGAGACTGCAGTCAACTGAAACGCGGGACCTAGCGGAGTGTTAAGTAACTGATGGAGTGGGTTTGCTGACAGGTTTTCTTTTGCCAGGTTTTGAAACCAAACGACAAGGTGAGGTAATGGAAGGTGGTGGTTTCACAGCATTACGGTGCGGGCACAGAGCATCTGTGTGTGGGAGCCCTTCCAGAGAGCGTGGGGGGAGCAGGCGGGGGGATGCGGAGAGAGCAAGGCTGTGGGGTCTCAGTGACCCCAACTCGGAGTTTGGATTGCCTGGCATATTAAGGGCATGCTTGCTACTGGGTGATAGTGATGGGTGAGAGTAGGTGGGAAGGGAAACAGGGACAGCTGAGACACGTGAGAAGACGAGGAGCCTCAGAGCAGGGCTGGAGCACTGCGAGTGAACATGGAGCCTGTTACTGGGAGCAGCACAACGGTGGTGATGTCTGAGGGTTGGTGCTGGGAGCAGTGTGATGGCAGCGCCCACCGACACCTCTCTGTAGGAGCGGTATGATGGCAGTGCCATGGAGGCCTATTTTTGGGGGCAGCATGATGGAGGTGACAAATGAGGCCCTGCAGTGCAGGTACAGCCTGGGGGCACTTTGTGCTGAGCCGGATGGAAAGGGAATGAACAGTGCCAGAGGGTGAGAACTGCATCTTGGAATGAATATCCAGTGTTTTGTTATTCCTGAGCAGGAGGAAAGGCTCATTCAATAGATCCTACAGACCTTTGGTGCTGAGGTGTTCACAGCTCTGGACAGTTGTTTGCATTTTAACAAAGCTCAGAGTTAAAGGTGTACCTGAAAAAATGGCACAGTGCTGTGCTGCTCCTATCACTGTGGTTTTGTTGCTGGTGCAACTGGTCTGAGCCCATAGCAGCTCCCTTTGAAAAGCCAGCGCTAACTTTCCCCTCTTGCAAGACTTTCTGATAGGCTTTCCCCTGTGTTTGCGGTAGGGGCTGGTGTCAGCCTGAGCAAAGCCACAAGAAACTTTCTTACATCTCTCTCTCTTTTAAGGCACCTTATCGATGAGCTCCATTGGCACCTCTGCTTTTGTTCCCTCTCTGCTTCATGCAGAGGCCACACACGCATTGACTCGCAGTCCAGAAATACTGCACAGAGCGCAGAATTTGTTCCAGTTAAAGCTCGTTTAAAAGCTGCCTGGGAATCAAGTTACTTGAGTACGCGGAAATAAAATGTGTTTATTGAAATTTCCTAGCTAATTCTGCGTGCGAAAGGTAGTTGCATCATTTTGCCAAGTGGCGGAATGCTTCTTAAGAAACAAGTTTATTTCATGCTTGCAGGTTTTTATTTATTCGTAAGGTGGGAGAGCAGCGGTTCTGTGCTCTCACTGAACTCTGATCTTTCCTTCGGCTTTGTTAGAAAGGGCTTCAGAGCACAAACTCATCTTGCAGAAAACAAACCTGGGAAGATTGCATAATGCATCTGCTAGGGAAGTGCAGTATCCCCCTAAGACAGGCTGCAGGTATGCAGGGCTGGGTCAGGCACTTCTGCTTTGGTGTCATCACTGCACTGAGAAATTGTCCTGCAACAGGAAATTAAAAACTGCAAAAAGTCCTGTTGAGAACCGTCATAGATCCAACACGTGCAGTCCTGAGAAAGGATGCAAAAAAACCCAAACTTCTGAATTTGCACAGAAACACTGGCCCTGAGCAGAAGCAGAGTTATTTGTTATGGCAGATTGGTAAAGCAGCTTCTGGTGGAACTGGGATGCTGAAGCGTGCCGATTCAGTATAAAGAACAGGAGGGGAAAGGTGGGCTGTGAGCTGAGTCGTGCACACTGTGCTGTGCTCCTGCACTGCCCCATGCTCTGGATGATGGCAGCAGAGCAGGACTGCGCTGGGGGTGGTGGAGCACCTGGTGGCTGCTGTGAAGGCAGGCAGTTGCTTTCCAGCTGGCTTATTACAGCAGATAGCAGATTGACCTCTTTGTTTTCTCTTTCTTTTTATATACACAGCGTGAAAGGAAACCTTCTAATGCTTGTTTTCTGAGGGTTGCTTTTAATGGCTTCTGCACTTAGTGCCTAAAACTTTGTCTCCTCTCTTTGCTCTGCTTCCCACCCCCACTAAATTTGTCTCAACAAGGCAGGAGCCCTGGAGAGAGAGTTCTCCAGCTATGTGTGGCTCAAGCAGCGTCACCTGTCTGCCCTAAATTGATGGCACTTTGGGGAAGGGGAAAGAAGTGGGAAAGAGAATAGTGCTGCTTGTTCTGCTTCCTCCAGCGCATGTTCCACGTCGGGCTGCGTCTGCGGGGATGGCTGAACAGTGCCAGCTCTTGGCCAGAAGGTTCACTGGACACTGATAGCAAAGAAGCGGAGAATGGCACTCAGACACGGTCTGCTATTTTTGTTTTGCATCAAAGGGCTGTGCAATGCACTGCTGTCTCTGTGCTGTTGCATCTCCTTGCACTCTGTGGCTGCAAGGCTGGGAAAGGGGATTTTACGTACCTTTGAGTGCCCTGCAGTACTCAGGGATGGGATCTCTGAGTCAGTGATGTTTACCTTATCATACTTACGTGGTTGCAGAAATAAGGCATGGGCCGTGTTGAATTTGTGCAATAACTGGGATATCTCATAAGATTGTCACAAAGTGTGGGAAATGTCCAGTGGTGCACGTGGGTTGCAATCCTCTGTTATTTACACTGAAAAAATGAGACTTGTAGAGTACGTGGTTGAGATCAAGCAAGGAAGCAAAAATGAGGATATTTGTCAAGTAATATTGATTTAGGGCTTGTTAACCATGATGGAGCTTGAAAACATAATATCTTTTTATATATCAGGTCTCACATCCAGGGCTAGATATTCACACTGCTCTTGTCTCCAAACCTGGAAGCGTGGGTCTCTGAATCCCACTTGTCCATTTGTAGAGTTCCTCGCTAGCCCTCTGTACTGTAAAACGAGCACTGAATTCCTTGGTCTGCTGAAATTCCCTCGTGCTTCACAATTAGTGTTTGCTTTGCTTTGCTTTAAATGTGGGCTTCCTTTTTAAATATAGTTTTCCAAGTTGCTGGCCGTACCAGATTGTTTATATTTTTTAAAAGCCTTCTGCTTAGCCGTTATATTGCTCTTTATAGTACTGCTTAACCACATTGGTTTCTGTTGCTCTTTTTTCTTGCATAAACTTAGCTGGGATGAATTTCAAATGTGGTTTATCCAACTGTTAAGTATTTCCCACTTTTCTGCAATAGATTTCACATATGTTACAGAATTCCAAACCAAGATCTGGTGGACATATTGCCCTATTTTTTTTTTCCTCAAAGTCAGAAATATGGTGTTTTTAAAGCCTTGCAGTGACGATATTTAGGTCACTGGCTCCAGCGTGCTGCCTAGCTTCAAATCCATTTGTCATATTTAGCTTATTTTCAAGGATTAAGATAACTGTGGTCCATATACATAGAAAAGAAAAAAAAAAAAAAAGACTTAAAGGGGAAAAAAGTTGATTCTTTTGAGCTGGAGGCTGCAGGAAGGACTTCTTCCCTCCAGAGGTCAGGCTGTGGGGTCGCATGGAACACATCTCCATCCCGTTGCTGAAGGTGCCAGCATTCAGCCCCCACGAATAGTAACCAACCGTCTAAAATTAACAACATCTGCTTTATTTTTACTGCAGTCCTTTACTCCGAGTTATTTGGGAATGGAGTCTGTAGCTGAGTGGAGGATTTAGATTTTTTTTTGTTTTTTTTTTGGTGTTATGTGGTAATATTGCAAGAAGGGGACAGACAGACAGGGCAGATTGTGCTGTTGGTTTATGCATTGAGAGGTGACACGTTCAGTCGAGTCTGGATCAGTGCAGTGGCATTCTGGAAGCAGAGTCCTGAGCAAAGGAACTGGTGGGGAGAGAACTTGGATGATGTGAATATATGTCATAGGATCGTTGAGTTGGAAGGGACCTTAAAGGCCCTTGATGAACAGGGATACTCGCAGCTCCATCAGGTGCTCAAGTATATTTATATATATCTCTGGGAAAGGAGACGGGAGGAGTGGAGGGATATCTCCTAATAATTTTAGAAGAACAGATTCCAGTGGTAGGAAAAGAAAATTCTACATTCAAATAAGGAGAGATTTAAGTGGAAGAAAGAATTGTGATGGCAGCATAGTACTGTATATATTGTCACTTGGCATTAAGAGTGACTGAAGCGTAACCGCAGGCTGAAGTGTAGGGTTGGCCAATGGGTGAGTTAGTCGTAACTTTTTTCACCAAAAAGCTCACAAAGGGAAAATCCAGTGTCTGCAGACAAGAAATAAACCCGATGTGTTGAAGATTGGTAATGTTCCCTGAATTTGGGCAATTAGGGTGTGAGTGCTGCACGCTGCTGCTGTTGTGAGTAATGTTGTGGTAGAGGCATGAATGCTTTTGAGGAAAACAGTGATATTTTGGCTGCAAGATAGAATTGAAAAGGTTGTAGACCTTTGTTGGACTTAATTTGGGAGCCCATTTTGTGGAAGCATGATGCTTTGTTCTGTACTGCCCTGAAGCTCAGCCGCCTCGCTATTCCAGACCGTGTGATGGACGCACACATGATGTTATTTTTCTGTAATAAACTGAACTCTAACTGTAGCCCCCTTTTTTTTTGCTCTTTTTCTTGACAGAGAGAACTCGATGCCACAGCAACAATATTGGCCAACCGGCAAGATGAAAGCGAGCAGTCCAGGAAGAAACTTATCGAGCAAAGTCGGGAGTTCAAGAAGAACACTCCAGAGGTAAGGAGCTGAGGTGTATCTAGGGCTCTTTTCTTAATGTTTTGTTCTCGTGATGTTCTCTGCTGAGACTGCTTTGTGTTGTACTGAAATAGGAGCTGACTTCTCAGAGCAAGTCTGAGCATCAGCCTTCAGTCAGGCTCGCTCTAAATTTTGTCGTAATCTAAAACCTGGAGAACTGCAAAAAAACAAAAGGTTCTTCAGTTAAACCGAATTCTCTTAGCGCTTGGGTGTAGCAAGTGATGTTTTGCTGCCTAAATAAATCTACATCAAGGGCACGACTTCAAAGATGCTCATTTTTCCACCAGAAATCAAACAAAGTTCAGTTGTTGATTTCACTGGAAATGCAACAAGGTCAGCACTGAGCTCCGGGCACAGCTCTGCAGCACGGCCGTGCGTTGCTCCCAGGTGGTGTGCGAAGGGTGTTGGAATGGTGCTGGGCCAAGCCTGGAGAGCTGAGTGCTGCTTGAATGGAGAGGATGGTTTTCAAACTCTTCCGTGACTATGATAGCATGTGCAGTACATGTCTGTGCACACACGTGCATGGTTGTGTATTAGATAGATAAAACTCATTTTCTGTATTGAATGCGTAGCAGTGCGTAGGGCATTTTTTGCTTCGTCCTGTTTGCTTCTTTTGCAAAGAAGTTTGCCATCAATTTGGGCTGGTACACAAGTGTTGGTTCTCTCTAGATACCAATCAGGAATCAGTTTATTCCCCTTGCAGAGAAGAACGGTCTATTGGGGATGGAGAGAGGTAAAAGAATATGAAGGTATAGGAAACTATACAAAATCCAGAAAATAAACGGATATCTGGGGCCACATTTTTTGAATTGTTTGCTAGAAGCTTAAGTTCATTCTCCAAAACTTATTTGAGTTTCCTGCTTCCTTCCTTTTTTTCCTGTAAGGAGAACTGCAGGCTGGGGCTACAGCTGCTGGCTCCTGAGGGATAGCAAACTCATGGATTCATCTCAGGGTGATTTCTTGAGGCCAGTTTTGTTTTTGCAGAGCAGGTTACTGGCAGGGAAAAAATCCAGCACTGCACTTTGTGAGAGGGCTGTGGTCACTCAGTGGGAATTGATGGGTGGAGGAAAAAGCTGTGCTATCTGTAGTCACTTCAGGAGATACAGAGAAAAAATGATTTGCTATTAGTTCAGTTCTGTTAACAAAACAAGGTGAACGCCTTCTGCTGCTAAATCATTTCATGGTAAAGTTTTAAAAACACTTTTACAAAGTATAGTTACGTAGCCTTCCACATAGTATTTTTCACACAGAGGGTGGTGACACACTGGAACAGGCTGCCCAGAGATGCTGTGGATGCCCCATCCCTGGAGGCATTCAGGGCAGGCTGGATGTGGCTCTGGGCAGCCTGGTCTGATAGTTGGTGACCCTGCACTTAGCAGGGGGGTTGAAACCAGGTGGTCATTGTGGTCCTTTTAAACCCAGGCCATTCTATGATTCTATGCCCTTGTGGCCAAAAGGACCAGTGGCATCCTGGGGTGCACTGAAAAGAGCGCGGCCAGCAGGTCGAGGGAGGTGATCCTCCCCCTGTACTCTGCCCTGCTGAGGCCTCATCTGGAGCACTGCGTCCAGTTCTGGGCTCCCCAGAACAAAAAAGACAAGGATCTCTTGGAAAGAGTCCAGCGGAGGACCACAAAGATGGTGAAGGGCCTGGAGCATCTCTCCTATGAGGAAAGGCTGAGTGAACTGGGTCTGTTCAGCCTTGAGAAGACTGAGAGGGGACCTGATCCAGGTCTATAAATATCTGAGGTGTGGGGGGGCAGAGTGGTGAGGCCAGACTGTTTTCAGCAGCATGTGGAGACAGGACAAGGGGAAACGGCCAGAAACTGCAGCACAGGAAGTTCTGCACCAATGTGTGCAAGAACTTCTTTAGGTGAGGTGACGGAGCACTGGAACAGGCTGCCCAGGGAGGTGGGGGAGTCTCCTTCTCTGGAGATGTTCAAGACCTGCCTGGACACCGACTTGTGTGACCTGGTGTAGGGAACCTGCTTTGGCAGGGGGTTGGACTCGATGATCTCTGGAGGTCCCTTCCAACCCCTACGATTCTGTGATTCTGTGATTTTGGAAGGGAGTGGAAGGGTTTCATTCATTCACAGACAAGATACAAAACGATGGCTCTGAACATCCCTGACACTTCGGGGAGTTTGGATCTGTGCTAGATTCCACATCTTTATCCAGTGCCCTGGGACTCCTAGCATGGACTGCTGATATTCTTTCTTTTCTTTCCCCTCTGTTGCGGCGTTCTTTCTGCAGCTTCATTTCCCAACATCTGACTCCTCTTCTTTGACAGAATTAAAAAATGAAAACGGGATCAAAAAACTAAAAAAAAGTCTCTGAACTGAGCAGCTCTACCAGACAGATATGCAGGTGTTGCTCAGCTGAGCAGGGTCTCCCTGTCCCATTCAAGGTGGCTGCAGTGGTAGGTATGGGCATTTCCTCCAGAATAAGTGAGACAGTGCTCTGCTGTCCTCGCTGGAAGAATTCATCAGCATTCCTCCCCACAAAAGCACTGCTGTGTTTATCTTCAGCTGTTTTCTGTCCTCCCCATAAGGAATAATGCTGAGTAATACTCCAAGCTTAGACCATTTTGGAGGGCTGGAGGATGATGGAAGGCAAGGTTATGACACCTTGACCTGATTTTTTTTTTAAAACTTCAGCTTCATCAAAAAACTTGCGCCATATGATAAAACCTTTCCCTGTGGTGGACAGGAAGCCACTGGCATTTCCCAGCTGACCCATTCATGTTACTGAACTTCAAGCATACTATTTTAATAACAAAGAGAACCCTAGTAGAAAACTTGCTTGCTTGCAGAACTGTTCTTTGAATAAATTAGTCAGTATGCAGCTTAATTAAAATTTCCAAGATGAAGTAACGTCTTTCTTCCTATGAAGAATGTGGATGGAATCGCTGAGTGTCACAACCTGCTCCAGAGTCCTGCTTTCCATTTTCATTGCTCATTCTGGATATATCCCCGCTGGTGCAGCAGTGGTTTGGTTTGCTGCAGCATCTCTTGCCCTCAGCTGTTGCTGTTCCCACCATAAATCAGGAAACAAATGTCGTTTGCCTTGAGTTTCCTATCCATTGCTGTCTGAGGTGTCCTCTAGACTTTCCACAGTGTCTGCCATAAGCAATCTCCTGCATAACAGAAAAGGACTTTAAAAACTACTAATGAAGTTGAGGATGTTTATGCTGCTGTTTTGGAAGACTCGAAAAGATTGTGACAGATCTTTGGGATTATTTCTGCCTTCTTTGCAAATTATCACATTGCAGAAGAAACGTAGTAATATTTTCATGCACATAGGAACAACTGCAGGGCTCTGTATTGCAGAGTATTAGAATACCGTTTCTGAGTTGGCAAATTTGGACATAAATCTAGGAGGCAGCATTTCGTGGTGCATAGCAGATGGAGGGGTGGTCATTACATGCAGAAACTTCAAGAAAGTTTGTCATTTCAGAAACACTTGTTACCCATCGCAGCCTTGAGGAGCCTGTGTCAGGCCCTCTTATCGCAGATGCTTTGGGGTATGTTCATCTCTGTTTGTTCCATCTCTGTTTGTTCCACCTCTGTTGTTCCATCTCAAGCAGCTACCGTGGAATGCTGACAAGAGATTACTGGAATCACTGATGTTATGTGACTGTCACTTGGAAGGCAACCCCAGATCTGTCACATGAGCCACCACCCTGCATCACCCTGTTGTGAGCAACTGCAATATTCATGTATTGTGAGGCTCTTGGTCTAATTCACCATGTCCTCATGTGCTGATTTGGTGTGAAGACACGAGTGTTGGAGGGACAGTCTGAGATTTGAAGGATCTCAAATAATTCTGGTGGCACAGATTAATGGTTTTTGGAGCCAAGTGAAGATACTTTGAAATGCTGATTGGTAGTTTCGCCTTGGGTTCTACCCACGTGCCTGCTTGAGCAACCACTTTTTGCTTACCTTTCTACTGTTCTGGTCTTTTGAAAGCTGATCTAGCACATAGAGCAGTGCAGATTTTAAATCTTGTTAGCAGCAATAGTGAAAAACACCCAAATAAGTAAATAAGTAAGTTGTTAAGGGCTTGTGGGGAAGGAAGACAATGGTATTTAAAGCTGTTTAATTTATAACTCTGTATTCTTTTCTGTGTCCTCTGTTTCCAAATGTCTGGAAAAAAAAAAAAAGCTTTAGTCCAGAAGACTAATAAACATTATGAAGTTTTCTAGTGTATTATTAACTTAGTTGTCAATCCACAGTCATTATGTAGCTGCATTTTGAGTTTGATTCCCAAAGCAAGATGTGTTTCAGTGAGGAGAACGATGCATTACAGCGTGCCTGTTGTTTATTCTTTGCACAGCAGGTTATTTAGTGCAGTGAGTTGTATTGTGCTTAGGTGTGTCTGCAGCTCTCAGTGTCTAATGAGCTCTGGCTGATGGTGTGTCTGTGACATGAAGTGGATTCCTGTCCAGTTTCAGACCTGAGGAGCAGTAGTCAGGACTCCTGGAAGGCTGGGTGAGGATGGGCTCTGCTGTGCACACAGCTGGACGAGGGGAGGTTGTGAGGTTGGCTGGCACTGCTTATATGAGTGCCAACACTTGAACAAACACTTTTGGCCACTTTTTAATTCTGATTGTAACAGAAGACAATTAAATGTGTCTGATTTAGCCATCTAAACCATCGAATTGCTGAGCTATACTGACTGTTGCCAATCTCACCTGCAACAGGGATGGTAAAATGGAGGGTCCACATCCCAGGGGCCATCGCCCTCCCCTTGCAGCTCATGGCTTTGGTCACTTTAGTCTTTTCCTGGGGGGAAGCTGAGCTGGGGTTTCCTTGCTTTTGTTGCCCTTCAATGTTGTTCCTGGGCTGCAAATGTGCTCTGTCTGTGAGATTTGGAAAGCCAAGATTACCTTAAAATGCTCAAATGGGCAGCTGTGTTTCGCAAAGCAGATTAAAGATTGGATCAGCAGTTAGGGAAGGACACAGGGGAACCTGTAAGCACGGACA